TAGCCATGCCAGGAATATATCGTCCAAAAATTGTCAAAAAACGATAAAGGATATTGAGACCATACTGTTTTGCAACAAGCCTTATAAAACGATATATTAACCGGCTACATTGGTTACATCGGGGATATTTAAAACAATGGAAAAAGATTAGATGGAAGACATAATTACTATAATTCACTTAAGGTTCCCATTTCTACGGCATTTGCTTGTATTCAAGGAATTTTGTCACACGAAGATATCATAAAAACAAGTAATTTGCAAACATAATACGAAAGACATATTGGTTACAATATCATTACCACAACAAAGCACTAATCAAATAGTACCAAACAAAATCTCATACCGTAATTCATCCCATATAGAAAGTGGAAGTAGATGGCGTTGAACATAATCTGGAACATTATTGGAGTCTTTACGATACATCTCAGCAGATACTTCAAGTGCATCTCTGACGGTTGACATGTCATTGCGAGAGGTGGCACGATTAATTGCTGTTTTAAGCTGGACATATAATTATTGCAAAACAATTATCCAAAAAATTATTTCTTTTGAAAATTAGAAAAAGTAAAGACACTGAAAATTCACCCACAGAACCTAAGAAATCAGAAACAAAGCTAGTAAAAAGTCCATAGTGTCTAATATATCAAAAAATAACTACAAAGATGCTAGTGTGTGTTTATGCTTTATACCAAAGAGGTAGCATGATTGTCAGATAATGGACTTATTCATGTTGCAAAATACATTTCCCCACATGGCCACATCCATACTTTCCATGGTTAATGCTAATTGCTAAATGATATTTAATTGGATGGACGGTCCCTAAATAATTAAGGTTTAGATATTCCTGTAAGGCTCTCACATTTGCGATGCATCTCTTACAAGCTAAATGCCTTCTAATTTTCTAACATATTTTTTCCCTTTTGTTTTGACCTTAAAAAGACATTGTAGCATCTTGATATGAATGCGTGGGAGAAAATATTTCTGAGCTGTAACCATTTCTAATATGTATTCTTGTCTTAGGGGGTGTTTGGTTGCATGTTTTTTGAGAAATGTTTTCTCAAAAGTACTGACGCATGGCATTTCTGTAATTAAATACTTTCTATAGATTTCCGTAAACTGTGTTTGGTTCAAAAAAAATTTACAGAAATATTTTCTGTAAAGTACAGAAAAGTACCATATTTTATAGAAATCAATTTCCTTCTAAAATGGGCGGAAATCAGTTGGAAATCTGACGCATTCGTTATTTAAATAATAAAATCATTGACACTTTTCTATAAAGTTCTCATTTTTCTATAAAGTTGGGGGTGTTTGGTTCAACTTCTACAAATTATAGGAAATGTTGATATTTTCTATAAAGTTATGAGTCATTTTCTTATTTTTAACCAAACAAGCAAAATACAAAAAATAATAAAATTTGTACTTTTTAACTTCTTAAACTTTTCCTATAATTTTTTTAAGAAATACAAGGAAATCATGTTTTGGATGGAAAACATTTCCTATAATTTATAGAAATGTAACCAAACACCCCCTTACATCATTACATGAAAAGCTTTCGGTTGTGAATGCAACTCAAAAACATTTAACCAAGGACCCCACTATGATTGCATGCAATTCTTCTCTCAAACCTTCAGTCAAGTAATCGTGAAAATTTTGTTCATTTCCAAGACCATTCCAGAAATATAAGAAAATATAAGCTTGATGGAGTAAGATAAGTTAAAGTCCTTATTTATTTGTAATAACATATAAAAAAGATGGCATGATACTTTGATGGATGAAGTTTTATTTTCTTATCTATACGTTGTAATACTATATAACATCAAATCAAGGTAATAAAATATGATGAGGGCATATGAAAGTAGTTCAAAACTCCTGGTAGAGAAAGAGAAAAGGGATGACTGACAGATAGTCTAGAAGCCTACCTCACAAATACACAAAAACACTTTCCAACCAGAAAGAAATTTCAGTGTCTAGAAGACTCAAAATGGGATCAAACAGATAGATTTTTTTTTTCATTGGTTGATAGGGAGGTGAGGGGTGCTAGATATTCCATTAAATGACCTTATTTGTTGGAAAATGTGGTGTAGCAGCTTCTGTTATAGGTTAGAAGGATGGATCTTGGTGCTTCCTGAAGGCATCACTTTATCATAAAATACACATATAGGGAATATTCAATTTCTAACTATTTGTTTTACTAAGTTTTGGTGTATTCTTTTTCACTCTCTTCGTATCTTCTTGAGTAGCTTCTCATGTATTTGGTAGAGTAAGGATCTATACTACAAACATACTTTAACTCAGCAGTTCTACGTAGTTGTATTAGAATACTTAGGTTTTCATAAAAGTTTCCATCTTTTCAATTTCAACATTGTGCTATCTTGTCGGTACATTGGTGATATTTCATAATGTGATGGACATGTAATTGCTAGTGATTTTGCAATTTATCCCAGACATAATTGGAAAATTGTTTAAAAGGAGTCTTTCTTTCATTTGGATGCATATTAAAATTAATAACTATTTATGAGGTATGCATCATCCTTCATTAAGAATCTGTCATTGTTTTAAACAAAGTGTACCTCTGGTCGATATCATGCTGCAATAAAACAGACTTAAGGCTACGAAATGATGTGATTTTACTTAGCCGTAGGACAATGTTTGAAGATAAAAAATGATTGTTGATGTGGTTTAGTGCGCGAGATCATAGATCGATGGATAACAGATGTGTACAACAAAATAATGATCCCAGAGGGACAAGGCACTGGGAACAAAACAGAACATGTGCACATAACGGTTATTACATGTCAGAGAATCATTTATGTGGTACCAAGGACAAATTTGATCCTCAGTATTGAGGTGGTTCATTCTTATCTACTCATCCAAATGGTTCCCACTTGAAAAATGGTGTGCATGTGTGTATGACAAAAATGTGATCCATGGTACCAAGGACAAACTTGGTCCTTGGTAGTGAGATGGCTCATTCTCATCCGCTCATCTAAATGGTCTCTACTTGAAACTACTCATTTAAATAAGAGATCTACTATTGTATATGGAGACTATCCATACTCCAAACACCTAGTACTTCTCATCCTTGAAAGTGAAAAGAAATTTCAAGAATCAATTTTCAATTTTAAACTTTCAAATCTGAGAAAACGTCCACACATCATGGCAGTCAACAACAGATTATTCATCCACATTGCAGATTCCAAAAAAAATACAGTATCCACTAAAATATATCTTGTGAAACAGTGACAGGCATATGCCAAACTTAGCAAAAGCATTTATTTCAACAGTTCCACGGGACTGACTCACCAGTTCTTTTACCGCAATAAACTGCTCGTCAGTCAAACGGCATTGCCATCCCTAAGAAACAATATCAATTAGAAGAAGAGCTACTTATCACCTTAGAGCCATAAAGTAACTGATAAAAGAAGAGAAGTTCTCTAACAAAGTACCGAGTTGATGTGTTCCCCAATACACTCAACAAATCCACTGCCACCAATCCCTTCTGCATCAGACTCAATTAGAGCTGGAGGTTAAGAGAAACCAATAAGCTCAAAAGGTTGTACAGGAACCAAGAACAGAATTACACTAAATTTTTGAAAATATGGCCCAAAAAATTCAAAATTAGAGTAGGACATCATTTTCTTCAATACCAAGAATAGTTCCATATTCAAATGATGAAAGTGGATCCTCTGTGGCCCCAAGCCTAAGAAGTCGCAACCATAATCCCTGGCATCAATAAATATCCACATCAACTAAAAAATATACAATGAAATATATAATGTTATAGAATAGACTGTGGAAAATATATTAGAAGCAAAGCACCTCCAATGTAAGGATGAAAGCATGGATTAGCTGTTTATATGTATACAAAAAGTAGATAGTTTTCTGCTCTAAAAACTATGCTTAAAACCAAAGAATGAAAGAAGCTTTCTGCTCTCAAAAACTATGCTTAAAAGCAAAGAATGAAAGAAGCAACCCATAGAATTTCTCCTGAACTAAAAAACAATCTCTAATAAGGGAAAGAAGATACAAGGCCTGAACAGCAAAAATAGACATGCTCCTGAATTGTCATTCTAGAAATAGAATTACTAAAACACAATACTTTCATATGTTTGTTAAACATGTAATGTCCATTGGTGCCTAGGCCTTTACCAGACAAAGGAAAAATAAGAACAAAAAAAATAGATTATATGCTATCCGTCTAGTGTTGTGTTCAAGAAATGAAAAGACTACAATTCTATAGATACTTCGATGTAAGCGAGGTAACAGTAGGCAAAATGTATCCATTACTTAATGGATTATATGATATCCATCTAGTGTTGGATTCAAGATATGAAGAGACTACATTTCTATAGATACTTCGATGTAAGCGAGATAACAATAGGCGAAATGTATCCAATACTTAGATACTTAAGCATCCGATGCATATTTGCTTGTTAATCTCAATTTATTAGAAGACTACCAACTAGCTGCATGGGCACTTAGATGTAAGAAACATAGTGGTATACACTACTTGTATACTTGAGTACCTTGTCTTTTACATATTACCAGACACACTTGTGCTTTACGTATTTTTAAGACATAACCTTGTACCTTGGAGCTATTAGCATGTTTACACTTTTGTCAATCAATGCTTAATATAAAATGAAACTATGGTTTTATTATGATTTACAACTAGAGAAACTAGGGTCAATTTTGTCTATTTTAATGCTATTTAAGCAAGAAACCATTAGGTTATCCATATTCACATTAAAGTTAATCAACCACCACAAAATGATCAAAACAAAAAAATGAGGGTAGTTTTAGTTAACATTATTTTATTTTCTGCAAAAATTAAGTAAAGCATATGCTTTGGCCACTTAACTTTATTAATTTATACAATTTCATTGAGTTTTTGTTGATTGAAGGGTAGTACGAAGACTTGCTATACCTAGCAAAATCTAAGCTTAACATATCGCATAACTTTTATATTTATTCATCAGAAATATCTATATTATGAATGAAGGAAATAGAAGCGACCAGGTGTTAAGAGTATCCTGGACCTATACAAATCCAAAATTATGATAGGAATTTGCTTTATCACCTACAATATTAAAATATCGCAATTTAATAATTTACCTGCAGTTTCACTTTAATATCCAAGACCATTCGTTCCCTCTCCGCCTGAAACCATACATATAAAGGAACTAAAACCTTCTGTCGAGGTTCTAACAAATTAACAATGCAAGACAGAGCAAGCTGAGAAACTTACAGCCCTCTCTCTAGGACTCAGACTTTCTTCATTCGTGTCCAGCCTAACTGAAGGCGAGCTGTAAACAGAGCAAATGAAGGACATTACTCAAAGAAGGGTAACCAGGTATTGCAAAACTCAATTTTCTAAAAGAAGTCAAGCTGTGACTGCAGAGAAGGGGGATGTTTGTATGTGTGTAGGTGAGTGGGTGGGGTTGGAGTTGGGAGAGGGGATAGGGCTTTTGCCTTCTACCTAGGAGTAAATTTTCCAGAAAGGCTTCCACTTGCTGACGCCAGGATTGATCTCCGCTTTTCTTCCTGCTCTTCTGTCCTAATATTTGAAGGAAATTGTTTGAACCTATATTGGGCACCTGATTACAATGGTGAAAGTGAACACTGAGGCATTAGTAACAGAGAAAAACATATCAAATTAACAAGTGAAATTCCATATATGCTAGCAAAGAACAAAGCAAATCATGTAAATTTAAGCAGAAAAAAGGAATGCTAAAGGGAAATATTAAACCTCCAGCTCCAGCATCAGGTTGTGCTATAGTGATAATCTCAGGCTCCTCCAAATGAGGAGGAAAAATAGTAGACGGGTTTTGACCCCTTCCAGTTGCATCTTGTAATTTATCAAGGAGATTATGGCTGTCTTCTTCTGAATTGAGACATCTCTCCACATAATCCAAGAAACCTTGAGATTCTAAAAATTGTGTCATCTGATGAGAAATGACATAAAAAAATGAAGAACATGACCTTCAAATTTCAATTAAAATAAAAAAATAAAAAAATGAAGAACATGACCTTCACATAATAAAAGGTCTACATCATGAGAGAGAGAGAGAGAGAGAGAGAGAGAGAGAGAAATAAGGATGTTAGATAAAGAAGCCAACAGAAGAGGAAGAAGAAATGTGTCATAATAGGTATTGTTTAGAATTTTATCAATAGTCCTGTAGAATCTTTAATTTACAGATTTCGTAAGATCCTTATCTTAAACTCAAAGTCCTTCGACTGGATCTAGTAAGAACATCGAAAGAGCTGAGAATGAAATACTCATTTACATGCCTTGACTTTTAAAATTTGCATTTTTGCACAGATGTTCCCTGAGTCATGTTAAATTCATGACAACCTAAAAGAGTTTCAGCATGTTATGAATCATGCAAACACTGAAGTTCTGTGACACTCCAGAAGAAGCCGAAATTTGAAAGTTTCTATGAGACCCAATCTTAAGCATTTGTAACTAGAATTTATAAGGGTGACATTGAGACCCCTTAGACCAGCCACAAGGTCATAAGACATTAGCTGCGCCCAAGTCCCGGGACTCTTTCATAGCATTCCAACAAATTTTCCTACTCCTCAATTCCAAAGGACTCTACATCCTTAATATGAGTAGTTGAAGCAAGTTAAAAATCATTTACAGTTGCTACTACTAGAATTCTATAATTTTGCATCAAAAGATCAAGACAGAGAGAACAAAGAAGCTTCTAATCTAAATTCTCCTTCAAGCTCAAAGCCTCAAATATCTTTGCCTTGCATCATCATGCAAAATCACACACTTTGTCCTTACTCTGCATTAAAAAAACTCAAAGATCAGGAATTCAGCTTGACAAATTCTTGATGTTGGAGAAACTCATGAGCCACTGAAGGATCAAGAGACAAGAGAGCCTCTTAAGGAAAAAGAAACACTGAGATTCACTAGGATAAGGAATGGTATAGTCACATTTTTGAAATTAGAACAAGTTGATGACAGGGACATATCTGCAGGATTGCAACAAAGAACAAGAAGTAAGTTAAGCTCATGCGGTATCACACTTTTTCCTCTGCAGCAAGTTGTAGCTTCAAATCTACCCTTCCATGGAGGACGAGGGGGTTTTCAGATTAAAATGTAGTGATGCACTATTGCACACTTATTATAGTAACAACCCAACTTCATGGTTCATGAAGCTTAATGGCAGCTCATGGAGGCTCGTTTTGATTCATGCTCACAACATCACCAATTAAAAATATTTTTTCCCGTTCAGGGAATTCTTTCTTCTTTCCTTCATGGTAGCTTCTTTACTCATGAAAGGGTCTTCTTTTCTCCCTTAATGGAGTTTCTTTTCTTCCTTTGTAGTCTTCCTTCCCTCATTATAAAAGCTCACGGGCTGTCCAACAAAAAAAAGGTTGAAATGGAGATGTGACTTTAAACTGGTGTATCATCCTTTAAATCACCAGTGCATAAAAGGGATTGAGACGATATATACTTTTAAAGATGAATGAGTTGACTTTCGCCTCGAAATAATAGTTTGCAGAAAATCCATCAAATACCCTCCTTTCTCTACTTAGCATGTTTCCCATTTCCTCTCTTCATTCTACTATTTGCCAAAAGAGCTATAGTCTAAAACTACAATCAATAAGCATCAGGACCCATTAAGCACGACAAGGAAATTTTGAATCCCTGAAAAGGAGAATTTTGTTCTCGACTAATGAGGTGTGTCTTTGTTTGACATAAAAAGTTTAACTTCTTGAGAAGCTAATAGCGAGAACTCACACATCCCAGATCACCTAAATGGTAACAAAATTTTTAGATGCTTTGAATGGAAAGATATGTACTAATGGTCAATAAATATCCAAAATTTATCACTTCCGTTTTAGAATGTATCTTTCATCATGATGGTAAATTGAGGATGACATTGACCATCGAGTCAAATCGGGATGGTTAAAATGGATAAATTCTTCTAGAGTCTTACATGATCATAGAATACCTATGAGATTGAAGAGAAAAATTTTCAGGACAATTATAAGACGAACAATGCTTTATGGATCAAAATGTTGGGCAATAAAGAAAAAACATGTGCATAAGACTAAGTGTAGCAGAAATGAGAATGTTGACATAGTCTTGTGGTATACACTAAGAGGTCGCATAAAAGATGAGTGTGAATGTAAGAAATTAGAGGTTGCTCCTATTGAGGATAAAATGAGAGAGAATAAGCCGAGATAGTATCACTTACAATAGAGGCCTCTTAGTGCACCGGTTAGAAAAAATGATAACATTACAGTTAATGAGGCAAAGAGATATGGAGGTAGACCCAAAAGAACTTGGTTGGAAGCAACCAAAAATGATAACAATTAATGAAAGAGATGACCAAAAACACAACTAAATGGAATAATAGGTTTTGTGTAGTCAACCCCAAAATTTTGGGATAAAGTTTTGTTCTAGTTGTTGGATGGATGGAAAGATACGCCTCAATTATGAGCGAAATTCTCATCATTAGATGGCTTAGCAAAGCTGTTTCGAGAAATATTACTGAAGAAAAACTTTTTAATGCACAAATATGCATATTGCCAACATGCCCAAAAATACAATCAGCTAATGACATTAAAATGAAATATTATGCTTCCAGCTAATTGCAAGATTTAGTGCCCAGTGTTTAAAGCCATGACTGTAGCAGGAGGCACACAATAGCCTGCTTTTACAGTTCCCGTATGCACTACGAAAGGCAAAGAGTGTGAGAGGGGGAAAGAAGGTTTAGCTACTGTGTCAAAATTGTAAATATCTATATATCTAGAAAGGACAAGGGCTTCAATAGTCAATTTTAGTTTCCATTGATGCCACTTATACAAATTAAATCTTCATGTCAGAAGTAAACAAGAGAGGTACTTCAGATGAGATAAAGAAGTTTCAAGACAAATCTTAAGTTGAGCTAACATGAATCGTACCATAACCATAGACTCAATTGGTTGACCAGTTGCACGAGACCGTCTTTTTAAAAATGCTTGAGTATTGAAGATGTTAGTTGCAGAATTTTCCTGGGAAAAAACTTAAAAAGTTCAAGAAAGTATACAAACAAAATGCAGGAAACAGTGTCTATGTAACTTACAATGAAATTACGGTAGCCACTGAGAAATAATGCAAAAAATCTCAAAAATGTCAACCTGCAAATTTATCAGAATATAGATTTTTAAAGCAATATAACAGAAAGGACTAGGAGAAAGATAAGGGTTTGCAACCGAAAACTGGGAATCCATAATTCAATATTCATAATGCATCATCATCATAGTCATATCGTCATTATAACAAATCAAGAAGATTTCAATTGAAATGGGTCAGCAATGACACATACTTCAGAATTGAGACGACAGGTTGAAAGGATTGGTTAGATTTTATGAGCTGTTGACAGCAAGATGGAGCTAAACTGGCCTTCCCAGCCAATGGTAGTTCAGAAAAATCAATCTTATTTGTCATGCATTTAAGTTTCAAAACCTCAAGGGTAACCATAAAAAATATATAATTAGGAAGATTGTCTACAGAAAAGGGGGTAACAAAATAGAAGGGAATGCATTCATGTGAAGTGAGGACCAACCATGAGTACACTCCTATGATAGCAAGTACCAACCAGAAGTAAGACATTTTAGTTGTGCAGATATCAAATGAAAGTTATAAACAAGAAGTTATTCAGTATTTGATTGCTTTCCACTTAATGGCCACATGATCCAGAGGACTACATGGTCAGCTGTGGACAAATAATAGAACTGATTAGTTTATTTAAGCTGTAACTATTTTGGAAGAAATATATTAAACTTCCTCTTTCAGATGGGAAATAAAGTAATTTTGTCCACTTTCTGAATGGATTCTCGAGTCACGAGGTTATGATTTCTCCTTCCAATAAGGCATTATGGAGATACTGTGTTTACAATCTATTACCCAGACCTTACCTCTTTCAATATAGGAACTTCACCATCTTTGTTGTAAAACACTTCAACCCAAAATGGTATCAGAGCTACTAATAATATTCCTTATCTATTGCATGGGGAAGGAATTCATGTGGCAGACTGAAGGCCTACCTTTCAGTAGTTATTTCGTTAATAAAGAAATAACAACATTAAGAGTATTTCCTATTAGTGCATCTACCAGCAACTCAAAGTTGCACCTCCCAGGTGTTCATTTTGGAGAGAATAGTGTTAGGAGGTATTTATCTTATACGACTAATGCAGACTCTCTTATTACTCACAATAAACAGGAAACTAGATGATAAACTCCAGCACTACCACAGTGATGGACTGTACTGCTGAGGAAGGAGAGACATTCAAAGCGAAGAACTTGGAGCTTTTTGACATGTAGCTCTGGAGCTAATGAAAAGACTTCACAACTAATTAGAGGGTGGGGTTTACTTGGAAGATTTTGCTTCTAGAGTGATTGACATTAGTTTAGCTGTAATTATTACTTTATACATTCTGTTGATGTTGAGAAGGTGGTACTATCACATAAAATGTGAGAAATTTTTTTGACAAGTAACAAGAGCAGTTCATAAATTTTAAGGTCAAAGCTGTCATACGTTGCTTGTCCCGAAAAACAAATATAGAAAACATCAAGGACATTGGAAGAAAGACAAATTTTTATTAAGCATGCAAAGTGCGTCACCCTCTGTGTTAAATGTTATCTCCATAGAAAATAACTGAATAGTGTTATCAAGCAACTAGGTTCGAAATTTGAGCATGCTTGGATTGACAAAGAGGTATGCTAATTAGAAAAGGTGCCAAAGCGCATTTTGGCTTCTGAGCATGAAGCTACTTACAGTCTGAGCAACTCAAAAGCGGAATGAAGCAATCGAATAGCTTTGGGAACTAACAAATTATGTCTAATAACCATCTAAATCAAACACCATTTTACTCATGGGATTGGATTCAGCTAACATATTAAGATCAAGGAGTATATCCTAATAATTGGTGGAAGCAACCTCCGTAGTAATTAGGCTAATTGTAGGTCCAATCCAGCAACCTACCACAAAAAGAAAGAAAACCATGTCCAGATGGATGCTTGGATCACTAATAAAGTTGTAAACAAACCAATAACCAGTAAATGTACATGCACACGCGCAAACATGCACAAAATCCTAACCCTGAAAGAAGGTACATGCTTGGAAATACAAGATCAAGACCAAGTAACCACTCTGCCTGTTGAATGGAACAGGTACGGCACTGATATGGGTAAGGGACACAAGAAATTTGTAAAAGGTAGGGTACAGCGTGATGGTTATATATAAATGAATATTGAAATTAATAGTTTACACTAGATCACATGTTATGATAATTAAATTCCCTACAACATTTTTTTGTTTCTTTATTTTCTAGATTATTAGTTGGAAAATCGCTCATTTTTTAACTCAATACCCAGACGACCTATAATCAGAAATCTGAACTGGCTATATGCTGAAACGAACCCGACCCATATCAAATGAGTTTCAGGAAGTGAATGTGAAGTGTGAGATTTATGCTAAAGAAGGTATGACGAGTGTTTTAAATGAAATCGTGCAGTATATATAAGAGTGTCTGAATAAATGTATGCAAGAGCGTCCAAGGAAGTGTTGTTGCAGGTGCAGCCCGTGCGGGTACGAGTATGTATCAGGTATGGATACAGCTTCAGATAGAAGTACGCAGGTTACATTGCACTTGGTAAACAGAGTATTATGAATTATGCCCCCAAAAAAGAGGACTTCCTATCAGCTACGTACTTCAATGCATTAGAAATTCCTAATGGCCATATACTTGACACTTGAGCACATTCTTACTTAATCGCCTTAAGCTAGTGATACGAGTCGTCGTGCGAGCACCTTTGATCGCGGAATTATCAAAGGTGGGTTGAGAAGAGGATGACAGAAACACAAGAACAATTCAGTATGTGACGAAGGAAAATACCCTCTAGATTATGAGTATGAAAAGATTGCAATCCCTCTCTCACAATCTCACTAGAATCGAGAACGAATCGAGAACAAGCTCTCAATTCTCTCTAAACCCTAATCTCTCTTGATTAGAATCTCACTTTGATTACCTCTCCTTCATTAGAAACCCTAAACAATCCCTTATATAGGTGTAACAACGTGGATGGCAAAATGGTAAATTACCAAGCCCAAACCCAACAGGAATTCGTGCAAACAGAAACCTAAACGAACCAGGAAACCTTCGATGAGTCGACTCACGACTGAGATGAGACGACTCGTCCGAAACTGGACAAAACACAAAATCAGCAATGAGTCGACTCATGACTGAGATGAGTCGACTCGTCAGAAACTGGTGACAAACGGCTGGGTTTCGTGAGTCGACTCATGACAGGCATGAGTCGACTCAACCTGATGAGTCGACTCATGACTATTATGAGTCGACTCACTGGCTAAAAACTGGATGCTTCAATTCTTCGATTCGCCGTCTCGTTCCACGCTTCAACCTGCGTTCCACTGTGCTGTTTTACACCTCTATTCTCAAGCTACCATGAGAATCAGCTATCCTCAAACTCCCATGAGGATCACTAAGTTCCGAAGAGAAGATACACCCGTATCAGCTAGAAAGGCTTGACCCATTTCCCCTTTCTGTGAACCCACCCCACTATGATTGTATCTTTGCAAATAATCCACCTAAACAATCTAAATATACAACCATGCAACTAAATATGCCCATCAAGGTATTACACGAGATATCAAGAACGTACAAGAAATAGATAAGAATCCTTCCCACACAGGAACTGATGTAATACCCTCCAGTTTGGAGGTCTAAGTATCACAACCGCAAGGGAGAAAAATTGGTGGGCAATTGGGGTATAAACCCTCAAAATTGAAGGATGTTGAGCATATTTCTCATGGGAGAAGTGTAATAATATGATTTGTATTCTCTAGAAACTAGTCAATTGCCACTAAGGCCTGGCCGCCTGGCTCAGTGTTGAAGGGCGGGTTAGGCCATGGAAGATGTGAGGTTCAAGACTGGACTATGATCTTTTCATTCAAAAAATAAGAAAAATCATGCCCTTCTTGCACTTCATTCTAAGACATCAACTTTCTGAACATCCCTTGAAAAGATATATGCATAAAAGAGAAAAATATAGGTTATTCCAGTTTAACCTAAAGTTGTTAGCCTCAGTAATACAAAAAAAATCTACAAATCATGCTTTCAATAATTAAGTGAGCATCACCTCAGTTGAAAGTCGTGATCCTCTCCCCATGGTCTGGAACCACCTTTAGCATATTGTTCAGACATACAGCCAACATTAATCTTCATGTAATCAATTCCAACAACATTTGGGTACAGCAACTTTAATATCTCACTTCTCAGGAAACTTAGTTCAGGGTCAGGTATTGGAGGTATATCTTCTGACGTTGTGATGGAATTGTTCTCAAGATCCACAACAACAACCTACAAGCTTTAAGATGAGGTCAGTGGAGGCCTTTTAAGTTTCTATGACTTCCAAATTTTAAATTTTTAATTCAAATCATGACATCAGAAAATAATAGATGTTTAACATATGAAAGAAATATATCATAAAGAGTAAGTGCTAACAAGCAAACCAATACTCCTCAGACTACAATATAAAAATTATAAGAACAGCAAAGACATAAAACAAACATAGGATATGCATGAATGATATATATTTTCAAATTATGCAGTAACTAGAAAGCAAAGAATAAAGAAAATCGTCGAGTAAACACCATGTTGAAGTACGAAAACAAGAAGCAAGAAGTACATGGAACCTACAGTTCCTCCAGGGTGTTCATGCTAAACAACCACCACAGGCAGATCAGTTTCCACTCTGCAGTACCATACTATAATTGGTCAGCATAACCGGCATCTGAATCAATTCATATGCATGCTTTCTACACTGTGAAATGACCATGTCTACAGGATAGTATTTTTAGGCAGGTCTCCAGAAATTTTATTTTTAAGCAGGTCACCAGAAATTTAACACCTTCAACGTTTACATGCAGAATTTTAAAGCAGAACATATATTGAATATAAATAAACATCGCTGTCTGCTCAAGTAATATTTGCAAAACAAATTATTGTCGAGCAAAGAAAACAACCTGCCATAATTTAAAAGGTGATGATTTTTATTTTGGAGTTGCAGATATTTTTCCACATGCTTTCAATTCAAAGTTATAGATATTCTTGCACAAGCTTTCCAATATACTTGTGAATCTAAAATGTAAATAAATGCTAGAACGAGGATGACTGTAAAAGTTGTCCCACTCTTATCCTCACTATATAAGTGAAAGTCGGTTCTAGTCAACCTATCTCACATTTTAGTCTAGAACCAAATACAAAAAAACTAGAAAAGAACCACATACGTCACAAACTTTTTACCTTCTCTTTCTCTTCAACCCTCTCAATCAATGCCTCTCTTCCCCCTCACCTTCATCTCCCACCAGCTTTTATTCCCTCATCAATCATCACTTCTCACTCGCTCGATCTCTACCACTTCCCTGACACTTCCTCGGGAATCAAGAAGACAAGGAGTCCCAGCAACACCCTGGCCAACACGGCCCTCTCCCTTGCTGAACAAACTCACTGAGGTCCTAGAATAAGGAAAAAGAAGGTGAAACTGCTATTTTTCAATGTCAAAGAACTGAGTTTGGTTGGTCTTAGGCTTGCATCTGATGGTCAAATTACAGTAGTAGAAGCAGTGTCAATACATCTTCTTCGTCTTTTCCTCTTCCTTTTACAGTTGAAGAAAACTTTTAACTGCTTCTTAGGGTTGGAGAGAAATCTTAACTGCTTCTTGATGATAAGCTCTTGCATATATTTCTACTCTGGTGTCACTGAGTTGAGAATAACTGCATCGAATAGGGAGATACTATTGGACAGTCAGTCTATAGGGGCCTGCAGCCTCTAGGCCCTACTTTTGACAAGTATCCTAGCTCTTTCAGTTATTATAGACTCTTAAAAAAGGGTCGAGAATAGTCTGTTTCTTTCTCAACTAACCGTATGAGTGTTTTGAGGCATGTGGATTGTGGAGAGAAAGGTCCAAAGATCAACAGGTTACTTCCACAATGCAATACTGGAGTGTGGAGGCAAGAAAAAACCTATAAATATTTGAGTTCAAAAATAACGATGTAATTATCTTCAATATGGATTGACAGGAAGTAATATATGCTAAGGAAAAAATGTATCCTACAATAACAACATCAACTTAGCCTTCAACACAAGCCACTGAAAAAACGAATATAAATCTGTTTCTCCAGCTACCTTTGTTATGGATCTCTGCTCAAGTAAATTACAAATATTACTTATATTTTAATATTTTCAAACAAATACTGTAAGAAATTTGCTGGTTGACTTACCCCATCCATTGACAGACCATACGTATCAACACCTGAATGAAGCCCCATCATGTATGGTGTAGGGGCATCAATATAGTCAACGCCACTAAAAAATAGAAGAGGAATGTAGACATGCTGCATGAGGGAAAAAATTATAGTTCAGGGAGGACACCTAGCAGTAAGAACTAGCTTAGCAAGTACAATGAAATACATAAGTTTGATGTTTTTTCCACTTCATCCTTGAGGATATTTCATTTCATAGTGTATGCGCTTACAACTGAATCTTTTTTTTCACAATTGCTTCCAGAGGAAACAAGTATATATAGTCCTAAACAATCTATTATCTCATGAATCTGAGATTTCAGCTAGTTCTAAAAAAAGTAACTGCTTATAAGCATAAACATAACCTAAAATTTTCTCCTTGCAGCAAACCCATCTAAAGTTGAAGTGCATAAAAATAAAAATATCTAAAATTTCTAGACTAAGAAAATGGAGAGCTTACTTGCCACCTGAAAGGATATATCAAATGGCAGATAGCCTCAAAGACAAGAGTTAATAATGTATACCTGCAAGAGATGGGGAAAGTCACTGTTACATAAAGCTAATGGTTGAAATCTTAAGAGCAAATTACTTGCATTTTTATTTAGAAAGGACAACTCAGAACAGATAGCACACTGGAGCTGAAAACAATGGTCCTAACAGAGTTCCAAGGATGGAGCGACTGATACTGTGTATAATGTATATAAATCAAACTTATGTTAAATATTGCCATCAGGTGATATGTATATAAACAGGAATCTATGTTACATACAGGCATCATGCTTGAAAGATTCAATAGGTCTTCCACTTGTTCAAATCATGAAACAGAAGCCAACACAAAGCTTGCTTTCAAAGATTTACTCACAACACAATACTAAAAGTAGATAAAAACCTTCAACGTCCAAAGTTTATGTCTCTCTAGTAAAATAAGTCCGCAAATTGGCTTACAAAAAGCAGGTCTTTGTTCTAGGCACTTTCATCCAGATACAAGGATACCATGAAGAGAATTTTTTTTAACAGTTTCTAGCAAGGTCTGAAAATTCAGCTATAGTTTTGGACATTTCAAATTTTATATGTATGCATGTGTGAGAATAATGGGTGTGCTTGCTACCAAGCACCAAATTTGGTGCCTAGTAGTGCCCTCCACTCATTTAATGGATAGGTAATCAAGGAGAGACCGTTTTTAAATGGACACCTTTAAATGAGTGGATAAGCAGCATCCACGTCACTACTAATCACCAAATTGATGCTTGGTACCAAGGATGCTCATTTTTCTCTCTCATATATATAAGGCATGCTTCGTACTAAGCACAAAGTTGGTGCTTGGTATCAAGGAGGAGGAATCTCAACCTCACATCTAATGTTGTAAAGTACAAAGAGAAAAGATGTCACATGGAGTACACTTTCTATCCACCTAATCTCAACCACATCTATGGTTGAGATCCCTCCACCTCACTACTAAGCACCAAACTTGGTGCTTAGAACCAAGCATACCCATATTCCCCTCTCTCTGTATATGAGCGTGTGGTTACACTGTTACAGTAGATTTTCAGGTAGTTTCTTAGGATTCAAGTGTTATCTCCCTCCCTCCCTTTGTGCGTGTGCGTATTTATCTAATGATTATGGTATCCAATTATTAGCACACGTACATGTTCAAAGTTAACAGATATTCACCCCAGGATTTTATAAGAGGTTATGATGTTTTATGAAATATTGAAAACATTGAGATATGAGTGGGTATATTTCATTAGATCCGTTCAGTAATAAGCTTAGGTACTTAGGACTTAAGTGCAAGACCCTTAACTAGTAATAAGCCACTTGGATCTGTGGTATTTCTAAAAGCAAGATAGATTTACACGACGGGGTTGCCTAGTGTACAAAACAGCCTAAAAGCTGGCACCTGCGACAGCTAACTGAAGTTCCAAGCACTTAAAAGTTGTTTAGGCACCAGCCTGGATTGGTTTTTACAACATTGAAAGATTCAGATTCCACTTATTTACCCAGACAAACTAGTTAAACATTAATTGGGTTTGATTATTGATCCAAAATGTTATTATACGATTTACCATATCAAGCCACTAAGGAAAACTCGTGTGACTAGTGTGCTTAGTTTTTCTGGAATGCCTGCAACAGCATGGACTGGAGAAGAAAAAAGATCAGCCCTGAAGAAGAGAAACAAAGGTAACATCCTCGCAAGTTTCTTCTTTCTTTTTTCTCCTTTTCCACTTATTTTCTTGTTTCATATAATTCTACACTCTTTAGCATCTACGTTTTTTTATTTAATAAAATATATTTGAACACAACTTGTGTTTTATGTGAAATGAAAATATCTGACCAGAATTAGCCCAAATGAACAGATCTGAACTGAAACTGGATGAAAAATATTTTTTTCGTAGTTTGGGATAGGACTTCTTTGAACCCTAAGTAAGTTTGTGAGCAAATCAATGTCCCTTGTCAACTAAAGATTCAAACAAGGCCCAAATAGATTGGATACAACTAATGCGAGATAAGATATAAAATGAATTAAAGGTTATAAAGTTAGATAAAACGGTGAACAAGAGGAGAAACTCACTAGAGAACTGAGAACCATTATATTCATGGCGCTTTTCTTTTTTCTTTGTCATGCTCTCTTTAATCGTCATCCCAAGCTCCAATACTTTGTTATTATAAAGCTTCCTCACCCTTCTAATGTGTTAAAACAACTATCTACTTTGAGTGCTAATACATTTTCCAAAAGTCTAAGAGGACAAAGTATGAGTTTCCAAGACTAATAATCTCCTTGAAACTAATTTTTCCCTTTCAAGAATGACTAACAAACTTTAACACACCCCAGCATCATAACATAAATTTCTTCCATTCTTCTCAATACGAGCAGATCCGCAACCCGAATCTTTCCAATCAAGGCATATGCCCTATGCTACAACACTACTCAATGACATATTTAGGAAAATAAAGTGCAAGAAATGTTTCCAAAGATAAGGAATGTATATTAGAATCATCGTAATAATTCCGTTGAGGCTATTAAAAAGAAAGGATCTTTCAAGCAAAATTTCTTTCAAATGATTATTGAGCTATTACGAGTAGAAACTAAAACAAGCATAACCATCAAATTGAGTTTGAAAATAACTTATTGGATCGCAGTAAAATCCTCCTTTCCAGCAAGACAGCAGTGAAAAGCCTAATCAGGTTATCCACATCTAGGCACTGCACTAGTGGCTGAAAACAAATCTGCAAATGATGAAATTAAAAATGATTATATTAATTAAATGAAGAAAAAGCAATTTCATAAATATAATAGAAAACCACATTTGCAATGAACAAAATGCTACATCTGCATGAGGAAGTCCTTCTTTTGGTGGGGCCTCTACAGTAAGAAGATAGTTCTCGATAGCAAATAAGACTCGATCTTTTCCAGGCGTAGGCAAAGGAACATTGGAAACCATATAGGCAATCACTTCCCATAACGGCTTGCTGAAAATCAAAGCCATAGTTAACAACATGCTGAGATATTTATTCTAAAAGCTACTGTGATAATGCAAGTTTCCCATAAATTTCAAAGTCTGACGTAAAATAGTAAATGATAAAGATGTATAAAAGATGTGAACAGAAAATGTACAATCAAAGAACCCATCAACAGATCTAAATTTTTTGAAAGCCTTCATCTAGTCATTACTTGCAAGGTCTTGCCTCATAGAGACCCACTAAGTGATATATATGATTCCTACATTCCTCATCCTTCTCTTTCAAGAAACATATATGTGTGAGCATTATGTATAGGCGAAGGCCATGTGCAATCTTGCCTTTGTATGAAAATATGCCATGAACGTAAAAGTGTATTTAAAAATAATAATACCACAGCGTGAGTCCTGGTTTCGGCCCATAAAAGGGCCCTCAACCTGCAAAGACATTTAGAATATAAAATTATAACCCTTAATCCTCATCATAACTTTAAAGTTTGTGTATTGGTAGAGACTTTAATATAGCAAAGCAATCCAGGTTCAAATCTTGCTTTCCAATAATTTATTAGAGGATTTTTAAAAAAAATTAATATCGCTGCATGAGCCCCATAAAACAATCCCTAACCAATAGGGACATATCAGGCTATAAAACTATAACCCTAAACCCCCATCACAACTATGAATTTTGGTGTAGTGGTAGGAGATTTAATAATGAAATTATGCACACAATTTTTAAACAAACTAAATTGAATAAAATTTTCATATATTTTTCAAAATATTATTCTCATACATTTAAGTCCATCATATAGAATACATTCTTAACTTAAAATTTGGAATCATCAAAGAACATGTGTGTGCGCACGCATGTGTTCATGTGTGTGCATATGTGTGAATGTGTATGAATGCATCCATATGTGTGAATGTGTATGAATGTGTGTAACAGAGAATGTAAAAAGTCCTGGTTATGTAAATACATATATGTATTCTTATTGCTTGAGCAACAAACTCCTATGCGTTTAAATGGTCGAAACTATAGATATATAAAAGTAGGACACTCCTCAATATAGCTACTTCAATGCTAACAAAGACATTCGCATACAATATTCTTGAATCTGGTGGGAGTATATCTAATGTTTCACTAGTTTACACACATTCATATCCTTGAAAACACGCCAATGACAAGGGTTTGTTTGCATGCAATCGGAACTAGATTACTTTCCAACTAGATTAAATTGATCATATCCCTATCTTTATGGCCCAAAAAAACTCACTGTATAGTTCTATTCTCAAGTCCATAGGACAGCTAGAGAAGATTCAGCCAAAATCAAAAACCAAGTCCAATAAGATCAAGAACCATAGAAATTAGACTTCTTATGATTTCAAAATACTTCCAGAATTTCTAAATTTAAACCAAAAATGAGTGGGTTTTAAAGTCAGTGGGTTTTCTGTAATTGCAAATCATAATAAAAAATATCTAGAAGAATTAAGATCAAAAAATTTGTTGCATTTGTCCCCCCCCCCCCCCCCTTTTTTTATTCTTGAATCTGGTGGGAGTATATCTAATGTTTCACTAGTTTACACACATTCATATCCTTGAAAACACGCCAATGACAAGGGTTTGTTTGCATGCAATCGGAACTAGATTACTTTCCAACTAGATTAAATTGATCATATCCCTATCTTTATGGCCCAAAAAAACTCACTGTATAGTTCTATTCTCAAGTCCATAGGACAGCTAGAGAAGATTCAGCCAAAATCAAAAACCAAGTCCAATAAGATCAAGAACCATAGAAATTAGACTTCTTATGATTTCAAAATACTTCCAGAATTTCTAAATTTAAACCAAAAATGAGTGGGTTTTAAAGTCAGTGGGTTTTCTGTAATTGCAAATCATAATAAAAAATATCTAGAAGAATTAAGATCAAAAATTTTTTTTCTTTTGCCCCCCCCCCCCCACCTTTTTTCCCCTTTACTCCAAGATTGACTAGAGCTCTTTGTTTTGAAGTTTCTTTTTTTGCTGATGATGAGGCATGAATCAGTTAGAAGAGTGCTAATAATAATGAGTATTTTATTTTTAGTTGTACTACAAAAGGTTGTAAGCCTCCCTTATAAAAATATAGTATTGGATGCTCATTTGATTATGAGAAGGATGAGATATCCAATGACTTTTCCTTATGTAATGCAGACATGATAGAAAGGCATCTCTTGTTTGAAGACTAAACATTAATCCTTTCGTCATTTCTCTTTAGCCATGTCTCAGTTTCATAGAGATACAAGCATAAATACTTATACATATAGGTGAATATGTATCTCTATAGATAAACAAATATAAATATAGCATTGTTTTAAATATCCCCGACATGACCCGATATATCCTTTTATAGGGCTTGCCGCAACCGATATAGTCTTCAAATATCCTTTACCGCTTTTTGAGTAGTTTGGGCGATATATCCCTGATATGACCGATATATCAGCCAATATGTTGGCCGATATATGCTTTTATATGGCTTGTCGCAAAACAATATACCGCATTTGGCAATTTTTGAGCGACATATTATAATTTTCCTATTATATCAAATGCCATTTTGACCTTAAAAAATCAATCCAAATGTTGCAGCACTGATTTGTGCTTTTATTTGTTTTACAATGCTGATTAGTGATTCTAAACATATATTATTTACATTTTGTATGCTTAGATTTCCGTAAGTATGTAGAGATAACATTTTAGTACATTATACTATATATGAAAACATCTGTTATAGCATTCCGATATTACCACATATCTCCGATATATCACCGATATCTGTAGTCCGATATGAATTTTGGTCATCCGATATTTCCCCGATATCCGATATTTAAAACCTTGAAATATAGACATGTATATATGCTTGTATGTGCATGTCCATTCATCTACCGTCTATGTCTACCTTACCCACCTATAGTGGTCTTTGTGTGTAGTTTAGGTGGTGGATATACTTACAATGTGAACATCGGCTTATCATATTGCGTGATTGATTTTTTAAATAGAATATCAAAGACCTTGGAGGTGAGATACTTGACATAAACTACATAAAAAGAGAGATCAAATATTATTTGGGGTTGTTTCTCAGTATCAATTGGTTACGGATTAGCATTTTAATTTCTTCATGCAATTGGTTAATTTTTACCGAATTGATGCATGGGTAAAGCACACTTTGATTTGATGTTGGGTACTTTATGAGTACTAGATCTCTTCTAATAATGTGAAATTTATATTTTGAAGGTAAATATTGCAATTAGGGAGTCACATCTAAAAATACCTTAGTTTAGTTATGTGCTTGTGTGTGAGACTGTGTGCGCATGTGAACATGAGCTTTAAATAAATTATATTACTAATGAAAGGGGAAGATAAATTAAATACATACATGCATCCTGAACCCCCTAACCACGTAATTTTTAAGAATGGATGCATAAAATTTTTGGAAACAATATCAATAGTAGCTAACTACGAAAGGTAACTATCCTTTGTTAAGCTTCTCATCTACACGACATGCTTCTACTGATTCTTGAACTTCTTCTCTAGTTTGACTACCTTTGAAGCCCTCCACTTTAGGACTTTCTGTTATGAATTTTGCAGAAGGTTTCTTGAAACCTAGAAGCAATTATAGGACATGTCATGACTCCTCTTCAATAATCACAAAGTTCCTCTTTATCTTTTTCATCACTTTAATCTCTTCAGCTTCTCTAAATCTTCAGCAATCTAGTTTAAAGAATTTTCCTCAACATGCAGACAGATAGATCTCTTGTTGACAACATAAAGTACACCGTCTTCTAAGGTCTATCCATAAAATTGGTGGATGGTTACAGTTGAGTACCACTAGCCCAACTCAACATGTTATAGAGGTATCGACATACCCATTAGATATCCAAATCTTCAATTTGATGTACCACAAAGCCAGTGTTGAAAAAATCCTCGCTTTTGACCACTTTCAAAGCGAAAAGTGGTGTCTCACCGCTCCGCTTTCATCAAAAGTGGGTGTGGTGCTTTCTACTCGAAAATGCAACAAAAAGCTCGTAAAAAGCACTGCTAAGCGCTTAAAAGCGCTTTTAAGTGTTGAAAGCGCTTTAAAAAATAAATACGGTTTTTATATTGTAACTATCCCTTTTCTTAAGCAAAACCCTTTGCTTCTCTATCCCTCCTCTTTTCTTATGCGACTCGAGACGAAAAGAAACTCTGATCATAACTCCTGCTCTAGCCGCCTCATCCAAACCGCACCCGACCAACTGCACCGCCTCCCACCATCAAATCCGCATCCAAATCCGCCTCTAAATCCTCCTCCAACAAGCTCCACCTTCAAGGCTTCACCATCACCATCAAAGCATCGCCTTCTCTTGTGCTCCTCATCAGAGCTCACAATCATCGTCCTCAGTCAAAGTTTATTATCACCATCTCCAGTTAAATCTCCTCCACCTACTTCTCTAGTCATAATTTGCATTTTTACGTGGCATTTATTGCCGCTAAAGCCCCAAAAAGCGTGAGCAGTGCCTCACCGCTTTGCTCATCATTCCACTTCCCACAACATTGCACAAAAATCATTAACATGGATTAAATTACCTAAGGCACTAGGTCCATATTTGGTTGAAGCAAGGAAAAATACATAGGACCTCTACACCACAAGACAAGAACTACAAGGCATTCGCTCCAAGTCTCTAACAAGAAGGATCAACATTGTGACTGCCATGTGAAAAATTCACTAGGCTTTCGTAGCTTCAAATTATTTTCTCTAATGCGTATTTTACTAGTCATTCGTTTGATGAGAAATAAAAAGGAATATCGAAAATTCGCGTGGCTGAAGCTGAAGCAGCTACTTTCGAACCTTTACCATGAAAAAGGCCACAACGTAATCACCTTGAGACTAGATTTTAATAGATGAAGCACATTAAAATCAATCCATTCATCCATCATTCCAATTCCATATCAACTTCAATATATCCAGCTAAGAAAACAGTTAAGGATTTTCTTAAATTTTCAAAGACCCAAAAAGCTAAATCATCATAGGTCATATGAATTCTCCAAAGAAACATCCTAGGTAATAGCGACAACTTGAGCTGTATTGGGGTATATCAACCTACAGGGTTTGGCATAGGCCTAGCAAAGCTAAACATGTACTCACTCTCCAGAATATAGGAGGCGAAAACATTATTGCATTTTGAACCCCCCCCCCTCTCTCAGCTCTCAGATGTACTTGTGTCAGAGCACAATGTACACTCTCGATTGTATTTAATTAAGCTCATCAGATGATGATACTTGTATTCGTAGTACACTAGCAGTAGGCGCTACCACTAGTGCTGTAGATTTTAAATCACCAGATCGTCGTGAACGAAAACAACAAACTAACTAGCAGATGACAGCCAATGAAACTAGTGCTTCTTAAACGAACGTCAAGCCATGTCACAATTTCATAACCACAGATAACCAAAACCATAAATACACGAAAGCTACCTGCTGCCAGCAGGGGCAAAGCAAAGCACGAATAGCTCCTCAAGCGCGTCCCTCAAAACCCTAAAGCTGGGCGACCGCGAAACAAGGCATATACACTTATCAGCGAAGGAATTCGGCGGTATCCTATACGCCTCCGCAATATCCACACAGACCGGATCCCTAAATGCAATGCAGCTAACATAAATCTTGGACCCATCTCCCTCTGCAATCATTTACACAAAAACAATCAAAATTCACACCAAAAATACAAATTTTACACTGAATGGCGATTTTACCCGTTAGAACAATAGGGTAGCTGCGAGGGTAGGTGGAGGGATCATTAGGGTCGAGTCCCGAAGAATAGAGCTCCACTCCTGCTGGAAGAACGCACTGAAATGGAAAAGGAAGTGAATTTTGTGTAAAAGATTGGATCTTTTTGGGTCATTGAGATACTGGGTAGCCCTCGGTGACAGAGCTAGAGAGAACAATTTAGGGTAACAGACGGTACAAATGAGAGGGTTTTATCTGCATTTTACAAGTGACGAGGAGAGTGGGCATGTAGAGGACTCCGGATCCTTGGTAGCCCTTGGTTCCATCGAGGGATCTGATCTCGGGGCCGAGGCCGCATACGACGAAGTACTCGAACACGCGGGAAGAAGACGATGACATCGGATCGGAGATCCGAGAGTTAGGGCTCAGATCTCCCTCTCTCGCTAGCTTTTTCTCTTTTTCCTTTTTCCTTTTTCCTTTTTTTGCCCGCTCTCTTCTTCGAGATCTCACAGTTACTTGAGGGGAAAATTTTCAAAATAATCCTATTTCTAATTTTATTCCCAAAAGTCCATCTAGTTCAAACTTTATTACGAAAATCAACTTTCTCATCACATCCCCTTTCTCATCACATCAGGATCGTGACCAGAAAGTGTGTTGATTTTTTTTAATCGCGATTCTAAATAGTTAGGGTTGACAACCCTGACTATTTTGGACCTCGCCTATAATTTAGCATATACTTAATTTGTCGGGATTCCTAACCCCGACAATTTTGAAATGTCTAATTTGAAATGATCAGGGTTCCCAACCCCAACCATTTAGCAGAGAGTGGCCAAGTCCAAGGTGGGAAAGTGGGAAATTGACTAAGGCACACAATAGTCGGGGTTCCTAACCCCGACCATTTGGCAGAGATCATGTAGCCCACACTCAACTGAAAAATCTCACTCTTGCTAATACATATCAATTCACAAGTTTAACACCAACTCTTGGTACACATTTATTAATCCACAATCAATTTTAAACACAAATAAACACATATCTTTTCAAACACAAATAAACACATACCAATCCATAATCAATTTCAAACGTAACATTCAATCACTTACTAAAAATCCATAATCAATTAGATACGTAACATTCAAACGAACATTCAATTTAAAACGTAAACATCGTATGAAGTATATCAAAATTTAACAAATATTTACAACTCCCTTTCTTCTCCCTCTCCCTCTCCCTCTTCTTCCTCTCCCCCTTCCCTGTTCACCTTCAACATAAGCTTGAATGATCTCAACGTCCGGTTGTGTGTGAACTTGTGAGCGCATGACATCCTTGTCGACTTGAACCTGTTGCGAACATCCGCCTTGAACTTGCTGTGAGCCTTCAACTTCATCATGTGCACTACTTGAGCCTGCTCCTGTGTGTCCTCGAACCCGACGACGCACGTACCCTATGAGACGTTCCTTACGTCCATCACAATTCGCATTACGCGTCCTCCTAAGAGCGGACTAAATCTTCTTGATGATGCGAAGGAACGTGTTCCTCGCCCCTGGATCAGTAGTTGTTCTCAATGCATCATGTGTAATAGAAGCAACATTATCGAGTTCTTGTACATATAAGATAAAAGTGAAAGAGGGTTATTAGCAAGTGGATGATAATAAAATAATAATCACAAAATAATTGTATATTTTGCCTATACACTTATCAACTCTCTCAACTAGACCTCTCGGTATGTACTCATTGGGTGCTTTGTTCTCCCGAAATACCAATCGTCGAGTAATCCCCCAATACCACCATAAGTACACACCTAGGTTAGGTGCGTCAGCCCTCTCCATCACTACAACCTCCTCCTTCAACTCCCAATTCTAAATGAAAGCATGTCGAATTAGCTCCCAATTTGCATGATGTGCTCCTTTTCTGGAATTTCACTCTATTCTTTCTACAGGATTTGAAATATATTCCTTTAATCTAAATTGTCGGAGCACACAGTCAGGCACGTGCATTTCGACAATCTCAAAACATTAATAAGGACTCGAGCACGCCATATATATTCACCTTCCTTATAAATATTTGGTAGTGACTCCAAAGCCAGTTCATAGGGCATCCACTTGACCTATAAAGAAGATTAAGTAAATTTACATATTAGTAACAAATGATGTATTGATTAAATATATTTAGATATTATGATTTTATACATATTCATCCTCCATTTGATCAAGCTCGTTCCTGTAGAAGTTATCTTGGCCCTTTGGGGAGGTTTGTCATGCTCTGGAAACATTCCATCTATTTTATATACAATAGGTTAGTATGTATTGACATAAATCTATAAAATTAAATGTAATCATATCTATTACAAAATAACTTAGTAATACCTGCATCCCAACGGAATCTAGCCATCGAGAGCGTGGGTCTCCCTCAAATCTGGTGTTCCCAAATGTAATCGCTCCCATGATCCTATCTACAGCAAAGTGAGGCAACCATTGAATTCTTTATTTTGTACGAGTACCACTTTTGTCATCTCTCTATACAGATAAGCTAACACTGCACTCTCCCAGGATAACTTTCCACACTCCTCAAGATCATCAAGAAGTGGCAACAATCTCACATGTACTGAATCCTTAGTGGAATCCGAAAATAGAACAGTATCGATCATATGAAGTATATATGCACGGGCATAGCTCTTGATGATCTCATCAGTCGCATCGATCGCTACATTCATATAATTATTTCTTAACCATTTGAGCTTGATCTTACCACCCTTTATAGTAGGAGCTTGACCCAACAATTGTTCACACACCCCTACCCAGTTGAAGTCATCTGTACCCGTAAACAACATCTCCATCCACTCTGAGGCCAAGTAAAACCCTAACATCCTGCAATGTAATCGTCGACTCTCTTTGGGTGGAATGTATTTGTCGCGGGCCTCCGTCATTCAATCAATGCCATCAAGAGAGCCCAATCAAGTCTTACTCATTTAATTTGTGAACACTCAAAAAGCATGTTTGACGAACATAATATTGGACCTATGGATGCGTAAAATTCCAGCTCGAATGTGCACGAGTATGATCAACAATAATAATACTCGGGGCCTGCATATATTAAACAGTGCAAATGTTCAGTAACAATCAACAACATTGAAAATTTGATATGATTAAAAATGATAAAAATATAATTTACCTCCCCAGAGTCTATCTTCGCGGATGGGTGTTGATCTTGATCATAAAAGACCTCATAAGTCAATGGACCTGCCTCCATACTGTAAATATCTACACATATGATGATAAAATGTGTTAGTATTATGACGTATGCTAAATTAGAAGTTGAATAAAATTACAGATTTCATATATAAGCATTGACTTATAAAGGAAGTAGAATAAAATTATAAATTAAATAAATTGTACTCGTTAATTGCTATCTATTTGGATTGGTAGGACAATGAGATCTATTATGGCTCGGTTGTCTGTAATATCCACACCTATTTTTTTGGAGCCCCTTCCTACCCTTCATTCATTGTACCTTTTATGCATACCGATCATGAACGTCCGACTTGTCTCTTATATTCAGGAGGTAACACATGCGGCCCGTTATAGGATGGCCAGTAACAACTATCTACAATAGGATGGAAACACTGCTTGTAAAAATCTCTATAGTGGCTTGATTGATACCACTCAGAAGCGTATGTGTAAACGAAATATTTGCACCCCCAAATTGCTTGGACGTAACCGCTATAACTGTGGACATGATATTTTTTACAATTTTGGTATGTTACAAGTGCATGTGCATTGTGTCCCTCGAAAATTGACGGTGTAATTATAACTGTGTTTGTCTGTAACCTACCATTCATCTATAGTAACTTTAACAATTTTCGTTGATCTCGCCTGCTTGACACGAGCTCCTACAATTTCTTTATTTTTTGGTGTTAATAATGTCACCCACTTTGCTCCATCCTCTCGCCGCTTGACAAAATAGTGATTGAGTCTATAAAATATCCTCGTAACCAACGCTTGTATGAGCATTGCTCGAGCCCCCTTAAGTACCTCGTTGAAGGTTTCAGAACAATTAGTTGTCATCATGCAAAACTGATTCCCTCCATCTTTACTTAGTGCCCACTGGTCGACATATTCATTTCCTAAACTACTCTCAATCCAGTCATGTGTTGCTTGAGATGTTACCTTGTTTTGATCCCGTATCCGATCATACACACATGTTTCGGGTGTACAACCCACTTGCCAAAGAAGGTTTTGTAAATGTATCTGACCAAAACTCTTTTTAAAATTAGCTCTATGTGTCGTAAGCAATAGCAGTGATGGTGACGAGAGCCAAATCTCCTGTACAATGCTTTTGGAATATCTTTCATTCTATCGGATATAAAAGTAATTTTTCTAGGAGGTAACACATTAAAAATATATAATTGAATGTAAGAAAAAACCACTCCTAATTTTTACTGTTCTTAACATTCACAACAGTGAAGGGCAAAGGAAATAAACTACCATCTACATCTACTCCTGTAGCAACAAGCAATACACCCTTATATTTACCATATAAGTGGGTATCATCAATGCTAAGAATAGACCGACAAAATTTAAATCCCTCGATTGAAGGACCAAATACCCAAAATACAGAGGTGAATTGATGAACTCCCGGATTGATCTCTTTGGTTATGAGTTTGTATTCAGATCCAGGATTGCTTCTTTTGATCGCATGAACATATTAAGGTAGTGTATGTAGGCGTCTAAAAAAGCCTGTATGTTCCCGAATATGGCTCGAGATGAAGAGGTGGCGATAAATGTCATCATCCAAGTCGAGAAGGTTTATTCGAGTGGTCCGCATATTCATCAGCCACCGTCAAGTAACCCGTACACTCACCATCCACCGTCAAGCGATTCACGCATTTACAAAACACGCAAAGTGAATCGAGGAAGCTTACAGTTCAACGAAATACGCGTAACGACGGAACAAGTCAAAACCCGGAAAACCAATAAAAGTCGCTGGCGGCCGAGTCACATCAAAACGACTCGGTCGAACCAGTGGTTCGGCCCAAAGCCAAATCACCGAAGTTTGGCTAAAATTCGGTTTTTTCGGTTCTTTGACGGATTATTTTGGGATTTGAGTGTTCCTGGGCGTTCTAACTGATCTGATATTGTGGTTGTACAGTTGTTAACTGAAGATACAGAGAAATCCACCAGTCTCATCCAAATAACCGCATCCGATGCCTATAAATATGAGCCAAAGGCCTCTATTTTAGGGGGGAGATCAAGAGGGTGAGGTGCTATTGGTTTCTCAAGTGCAGAGCCACGAATTTACAACAAGGGTTAGCGGATCTTGGTGATCTCCTGTGCATAAAGAGTGGAATTCGAGAGATCCGAGGCCCCTATTCCTCCGGATTTAAGCTTGGTCTTAAATCTCGAGAAGAGCCGTGATCTCGCTTGGTCGAGATCATCGCTGCAGTGATTACTTCCTTCGTGAAGTAAGGGCTTTGATCACCAATCTGTCAACCGGATCTGATCCGCAACGGTCCATGGATATTAACGTCCCCGACACAGGCAAAGTTCCCACGCAAGCATCGGGTGATAAACGTTCGTTGCGCTGTTTGACAAGAGTTCTAATCTTTATTTTCATTGTATAAAGGAGATCTTATAAAAAGATCAACTTTTCTTTTCATTTGAGTTTATTGTAATGACCAAAGTTGTAATAGATTCGATGATAATGAAAACATCAACTTTTGACCCAAACAAGCTGGCGAACACAGTGGGAGCCAATAGCTTCACTGCCGAAGCTATCGTGCCGCAACCACGGATCCAGATCCCGGTTGAAGAAGTGGTTGAGTATGAATTCGACCAACTGAAGTTCGAGGAGTATCTGTCGTCGTCCTCCTCCAGATCCTCTGTCCCTCGCAAGCGCAGGAAGATCAAAGCCCCCGTTGCTGCGGTAGCTGCACCTTACAACACCCCTTCATCCTCCAACGAAGCCGGATCTACAGATCTGGACTCCTCCTCAATCAAGGAGATAACCGCTGTAGCCGCGCGAAGCCGGATCTACAGATCTGGACTCCTCCTCAATCAAGGAGATAACCGCTGTAGCCGCGCCAACTTTAGCAAAGAGGGCACGCCAAAGACAGCGCCAACGACTTGCGCGCTAACTTGCTAAGGCTTTGGAGCCTGTTGACGGGATCTGCTATGAGGCGGATCTGAAACTCAGAAAGAACCGAGTGCCCCAGTAGCAAACATATACCCTCTCCTCCAAACCAGCAGCGAGTGAATGGATCCAAGTTAAACGGACCCGCTCAACCCTCGAGGAGTGTATTCAGAAGCGTCGTGCCTTGATTGCGCACGCACGGATCCTCGTGCACGAAGCGCAAAAGTTAAAGCAGGAAGAGGTGACCAAGAAGCCACCAAAACTACGCCAAGTATGGAAACCAAAGTCCGAAATGGCGTCGAAAAAAATCAAAGAAGAAACAATTAGACTCAACTGTTACCCCTCTTAACGGCCTCATATTTTCATAAGGGACTTTATTGTTCATGACATTTGACATTCCACTGAATGAAGATCCACTATTGTGATATTGAAATTGAGCCTGCTCCATTTCACTCAAAGAAGAAAGAAAACAATTAGACTCAACTCCCAGATCTAACATGCGTGAGAATTCTCCTGGGGGTATGGATATTTAGCACGAACTATATGGTAATTTTTCAATAAATAATTCTACCGTTGGTTCTGACTTGCTCAAATTAAACATAATACTCATATGATGATCGTTTGATATCTCAATTGCGGATATTGTATCAAAAGTTATAGGCCAATTGCATATTATTTTTAGTCGGTATTCTCGTGGGTCAATTTCCGTAACTTGGTGTAATTCCTTAACCAGGTCACATTAACTATATGATTTCGAGATCATTAATGGCATCGTTAACCCTCTGACGTATATTGGCATATTATTCATTCGGTAATTAATTTTCCCACCATAAGAGCAAGCAATAAAAATAATATTGTTCAACATATGCAAAAGAAGATTATATTATTTAAATGCAAAAAAAATTTTGAAAATATTATCAAGGCATCGAATAAGAGAGGAAAACCCAAGATGCAAATAATCTCATATAATTTTGAACAAAAACCCTAAACCCCACATTGAAAATTCTAAACCCTAGAATTGGGCATTCTATGCTCTAAAAGTTTAATTTCAATTACAACAATCAACATATAAAGCATTCGAACCACTATAAATAGCATTCAAACCCTAGAAGTTCATTTTTGAGAGAAAACCCTAGATTTCTACATGTTAAAAAAGGAGAGAAGGAAGAGAAATTATCCTAGAGATCTTAAGCAAACTTTCACAACGAATTTCGGCTGCAAAATGGGGTTGAAATTGAGATGGGTGGCAGCAAAACAAGAGAGCAACGGAGTTGGAAAAGAGAAAGAGGCGGCTGGGAGAGACGAGTTTGGGGGAGAAGGGTTTCGGTTGATTTATATAGGGGGCAGGATCCAGAACAAGTAGTCGGGGTTGGCAACCCCGACTATTATGTCTCTTAGCCAATTTCCCACTTCTTTAACTTGCGGTTGGGCACTCTCTGCTAAATGGTCGAGGTTGGGAACCCTGACCATTTTGAATTAAGCATTTCAAAATGGTCTGGGTTCCCAACCCCGACCATTTAGGAGGTGGCTAAATTAGTCAGGGTTTTGAACCCCGACTAACTTAGCTGTCAAACTATAGCAGGGTGGCGGGCGACCTCCTAATTAGTCGGGGTTGACAATCCCGATTAATTAGAAACGTAGTTAAAAATCGACCCACTTTCTGGCCACATTGCTGAAATGACGAGAAAGTGGGTTAATTTTCGTAAT